TCGGTGTGATGTGAAGGCAGAGCTGAGAGCGTCCACGTGCCCGAGCAGAGGGACGTAGCCAGGAGACCTGCTTGTCCGGGAAAGCTTGGGGAGCTGATGCCTCTGCCGGACCCCTTGCTCCCAGCGGCCCCGGGGACTGCCATGGCTGTGGAGCAAACTCCTGAGCCTCGGGACCTGAACTGAGCGGTCCCTCCGGGAGCCCGGGGCAGGCGGGGGCCCCGGCAGGCAGCTGCTTCTGGAACGAGGAAGCAGGAGGTAGCTGCCAGGTGCCTGGGAGGTGTCGGCCAAGGCGCTCCTGGGCTCTCGCTCCTTCCTGCCGCGAAGAAACAGCAGAGCAGGAGCATCCCTGCTCAGCTGAGTCCCCGCGGCAGCCTGGGGCTCTCCCGGGTGCTCCTATTGCCGAGGGGCAACGAGAGCTGGGCTTGGTGATACAGGTGCCCCTTGGCCCCGACGTGCAGGCAGGGGCCTGTGCACAAAGGTTTTTGAATCATCCCATTTCCTGGGGGAGACTTTCCCCTCGTCTGCCCCTTCCAGCTGCCTGGACTTCGTGCCCAAGGGAAAACTACCCTGGCACCAAGACCTGCCGCGGTCGGGCACCTGCTCAGCGGAGCGGCCGTGGCCCTGGAGCTGGAGCACAGGGGTGTTGGCAGGAGGGAAAGGGCTGCGCCTCCGGTCTCCCAGGTGTGGGAAGGGGCTGGTCCCGTGGGTCACTCGAGGGGCTGCCCTGGTCCTGGCACTGCCGTGAGCTGTGGAGGGCAGGAGAGGATGGGCCTGGGACCCTGGGCTCAAGGGCGGCATGCTGGTCTCTTGCAGCAATAAGGGGCCTCTTCTTCTGCAGCTTTCGGGCCTGCTCCCTCTACCCTCTGCCCGCCAAACACCCTCCATCTCCCCTCTTCTCCGCTAGGAGCCCGCCATGGCAGCCACGTGCCAGGCCGACACGGAGCTCCGGGACCTGGACGAGGAGCAGCTCTGGGAGATGCTGGAGAGCCACCGCTACCGCATCGTGCGCAGCGTCTGCCCCAGCCGGCTCACCCCCTACCTGCGCCAGGCCAAGGTGCTGGACCAGCTGGACGAGGAGGAGGTCCTGCATGGCCCCCAGTTCACCAACAGCGCCATGAGAGCGGGTAAGCGCAGGCAGGTGAAGGGGTGGCGTTAGGGGAGTAATGGATGAAGCCCCTTGGAGCGCGGGTGGATGCAAACCTGGGAGATTCCCTGCCGAGAGCGGGCAGGCAAAGTCTTGCCCCCGATCCCATCCGCTCTTCCCTAACCTGCCCCCAGGCCACATGCTGGATCTCCTGAAAACCCGTGGCAAGAACGGCGCCCTGGCCTTCCTGGAGAGCCTCAAGCTGCACAGCCCCGACACCTACACCCTCATCACGGGCCTGGAGCCCTCCATCGACCTCAACAACTTCAGCGGTAAGTCTTCCTACCCCTGCCCCAGAGCCGCCTCGGAGCTGGGGTTGGGGTGGGGTGGGGGTGCCGCCAGGTGTGGAGAGATGGGGGAGTGTGAGTGGGCAGCGGGGGCAGAGCCGAAGGGCCAGCAGCTTTCTGGCAAACGTTTCTGATTGCCTGGTCTGCTCCCTGGTTTGAGGGCAGGAGGGGGCTGGACGTGCCAGGAGTCAGGCATCACGTGGTGGCACCCGAAAGCCTCCTGGAAAGAGCACGCGTGCACCGTGCAGCACCTAGCGCGGCGGGGTCTGCCCCTGGACCAGGGTCTCACGACTGCTGCCCTAGTCCCTTGTGTTCCCCGGGAGCTTCGCCTCGCCCTGTCTCTTTGGGGAGGTCCATCCGTGGACGGGGCAGGCAGAGAGCCGGGGGGCTCGGGCCGAGCCAGGGCACAGCGGGGGCAGTGGGCTGGGACGTGGCGGGAGGGAGCAGGGCGGGTTCCCCTGGGCACGAGCCGTTCCCGTCCTGCCGCAGGCCTGGTGGAGAGCTCGAAGCTGACCGAGTGCCTGGCGAAGGCGGTGAACGGGCTGCAGGAGGCGGTGACGCAGGAGAAGCAGCAGAAAGCCTCGCTGCTGCACCGCTGCCGCCAGCTGCAGGAGCGCCTGGCCCAGCTGGAGGCCGAGGGCCAGCACCTGCGGGGCCTGCAGGCCGAGCACGACCGCATGAAGCGGGAGCTCAGCACCCACTTCCACGAGGTGCTCAAGCTGAAGGACGAGGTGTACAGCTTGTCCATGCACTACACCAACGCCCTCAAGGACAAGGACCTGGCCATCACGCGCTGCCGGGCGCTGCAGGAGGAGGTAGGGGCGAGGGCGAGGGACCCCGCTGCCTTGGCAGTGCCCACCCTGCCTGGGGCTGGTAGCAGCAGGACTTCCTTGGGAGACCAGCTGGTCCCTTCTGCGATGGCTCTGGCCCCCTGGGTGCTTGGAGGCATCCCCGGCGGGTCTGCGGCTGCAGTCCATGTCCGCACTGGGACATGTAAAGTGCCGGAGGGCGCGGGCTGCAGCTCCCCCAGACCAGCGCTGGGTGCAGAGCTGGCCTCGGAGGTCACCTCGGATGCCCGCGTCCCCTGGATGCTGCTGGCTCGGGGACGGACGCACTTTCCTCCCTGTGCCAGCACCGAGCAGGGTCCGCGTGCCCAGGGAGAGGGCGGGGCGTGGAGGCGGGCAGCGTCCTCCACATGCAGCCTGCTCCCATTAGGTGCAGGCCACGTCCTAGAGCCGTGGCCGGGTGTGACAGTGGGGGTAAGGTCTCCGGTCCCTGTGCCCACGCAGCTCTACCTGATGAAGCAGGAGCTGCAGCGCGCCCGCGTGGAGTCGTACTGCGAGCGGGAGCGTTCGTGGCGGAGGAGCAGCGACCTGCAGCCGCCGGCCGACGAGGTGCTGGTCCTCAGGGAGGAGAACGAGAAGCTTCGGTCCATGGTGGAACTGGAGACGTTCAGCCTGGTAAAGCTGACCCGCACCTTGCACCCTCCAGCGTTTGGGCAGCCGGCCCTGCGGGGCCGGGTGGGAAGGGGCTCGCCAGCTGCTTGTCCACCCCAGTGGTGCATGCGTTGACCGCGGTGTGCCCCTGGCGCAGGTGCAGAAGGACATCCTGGAGCAGAACCTGGACGAGGCCCTGGAGGGCAAGCAGGAGCTCCTCGATCGCATCCACTCGCTGCGGGAGAGGGCCGCGATTGCCGAGAGCCAGCGCAAGCAGGTAGGAGCCCCTGGTGCCCTGCTCCCGGGCTGGAG